ACTATTATAAATGTCCTTGAGACAGATTGTAATATTTTTCAGTAAATAAGTTTAAAAAAAAAAAAAGATGCTTATAATACTTTAATCGTGTTTATACTCTGTTTTTTATGTTGTTTATATTGAATAATTTTAATACTTGCAGTATACAACAGATATGTATAAAGGGAGAGAAAACGACATTATATATAAAATAAAATTTGAATGAACAAGAAAATAAAAAAATAAAAAGGAAAAAAAAATTTCTTTTACTCATATATATTCAGCTAGTTCTGTATATTTATATATAAATTTTATTGATTGTCCAAAGGATTAACCAGTATGCTGTATATCTAGCAACCCAATATAATTTGACAGCACACTTTTAAATTAAAATAAATTGTTCTCCTCTAATTTTCCTATTACAAGGTATATTAAAACAGTAACGATAATAATCTATTCTCCCTTTTTAAGCACATCACTCTTAAAATAGTGAGTAGGCAAAGAGCTGATAGTGAACGAAGTTATGGTTTAAATTATTCACAATTTAAATTCAACACAACCTCATAGCAGTGAATATTCCAGAAGTTCAAAAGTCCTTGAAATCATTTTGGGACATTCTCATAAGTTCACAATTTGCTAAAAAATGGTGACATGTTGAGTTCTTGTGAGTCAGATGTTCTAACAAATCGTCTATACTCAAATCAAAACAAATGATTATGGACCTACGTCATACAAGGAAGTTTTTGTAAAACTGGCACATCTGCAGTATAATTCGTGGGTGATAAAAAAAATCTTGAATGTCATTTTCGTTTTTTAAAACAGATCTTACCTTAGTTTATGCGGTCAAAAGTCTTCTTTAAATGGTTTCCATAATGAAAATATGTACTTTCGTTTGAAGAGAATTTGGTCTAGTTTACTATGAAGCATGTTTTAATTACTTAAACTGAATGTTTTTTTTTGTTATCTCTTCCTATTCCTAAAAAAACGTGGCTTAGTTAAAAATTAACACTTAAATTTCGAATTTGTTTATACCTTTTGTGGACTGCTATCATCCCTATAAATATATCTCTCGAAGTAACCAATACCGTGTACAATAATTAGAAATTAAATTAAATTGTATTACATAATTGTATAGTAATTAATAACTCAATAGTACGGCAGAGGTTATCTGGAAAATCAAAAAGCATATGAATAGATCAAATCAACATAGATCCATTAGTGGGAGCTGTATGTAGATAACTGAAAAAAAAAAATGGTCCAAAATAGGTAGAGATAGAAAAGGCTGGTTATGGCGAAAAAAGATCTACCAGGTCTGCAAAGCCAACAGAAAAAAAATCCAAGAGCGTGTAGGTATATTGTTGAAAGTCAAGCAAGGTGCATTGTGGAAAAATACTTAAGTAAGTCAACATAGGTATTACCATCTCTTTTTTGAATGTCAAAACCACTTTAAAGAGCTGATAAAAAAAAAAAAAAAAAAAATTAAAAAATATATTGAAATACATCAAAAGGTCTCATCCCACGGTCTCACAGCTAGATAGAATATTGCACCTATCGCACACACATTAAAATGAATCTTCTTATTGATGTAGTTTTTAAGATTATTTATATATTTTAAGACCATATTTCCAACAACTTCCCTAGCTACTTAAATATTTCATTAGGTGATTTAACTGACACTGAAATATCATTATTAACCCGGAACTAGTTCCAATAACAGGTTCCTAGATGGTGACTTAGGTAACTGTCACTGGCAGGACAGGTGATATAGCCGTACCTATAATTAGACAACCTTGAAAGCAGTGAACATTGGCGACTCTTTGGATCACAATTATCACAGCGCAAATAACAAAGCACTCAACTCAAATAGTTCATTCAATATTGAAAAGTTCAGTTTTAACTTGAGAAGTGTCAGTCTTATTTACGTATGAAGGTAAATAAATTCAGACAATAAACAATAAAAAAAAACCAGAGTAACGTAATTTCATTAATTATTTTACATAACCACGTAAACAAAATCTCTCGATAAATAACATTAATTAAAATAGGTGAGTAGATCATCAACATATAATGTTCTACTTTATGTCATTCAATAAATTTTAAATTGAGTCCACTAATAATGAAAACATGTACTCATCTATTCAAAAATAACAATGTCATTTAATTGAAAAATAATAGTAATATATATTGTTATATAATAATAATCATTGTGAATATAATGATAAAACGTTAAGAATATTTTCAAAACTTTGTTTTCACTAAATGACCAAATTTAATCATACTATACACTTTTTTAAATACGTGGCTTTATTTTTTGTTTCGATTAATTTATGTGAGAAAATTTATTTAAAAAAAGAGAATAATATAATGAGAATATAATATATATATATATATATTAAGAGAAATACGATACGAGTACAATACAACTTAGACAGCGCTAAAATTTTAATTTATAAAATGAGTTATAAATAGCAGTTTAATTTGACATTTTAACATGACTTGTTAGAAATAAATTAGTATAAAAAATTAATATTAATATATTTAAGTAAACAATAAAACACACTGTTTAATAATAATAAAAAAATTACAAAAACGGTCTTTCAATTTTGTTCTTAAAATTTTAAAAATATTTGCAATAATTTTCATAAACTTCAAAACATCTTCCGAGGATATTGCTTTATTTTATATTTCCAAGTAATTACTTTAAATAAGTACTTTATACGCTATCCTGATTTCAAATTTCGAGGAAATAATCAATGGCCATTTGTTTAAAGTTACAGAAATATGTTTTCAAATACAAATTTTGTTGCTTTTGCCGTCGCGCGAGTCGGGAATAACTGTAATCTGAATAAACTGGTGATAATTTCTCTCTCAGGTTTAAATTTAAGTTGAGTGTATTTACAATGTGCATTTATTCCATAAGCATCCGTACGTTATATGTACAAAATACAAAAATCACATTTTAATAATACTACTGCATTATTCGATACAAAAATCAAATGAAAATAAACAAAAACAGATAAGAAGTAAAAGGAAGTACGTTGAACTTAAAAATACTTCGCATTAGTAAATTATGCACGCAAACAAAATTATGAATTAAAACACAGTGAAACAGAGAGAAAACATAAACATAAAAAAAAAGAAAATTCAAAACATTATATAATCAGATGAAATACATATTTCATTAAAAATCAGGTGTAATTAGAATACTAGTTTGATATCAAGATTTTGGATTTTCCTATTTCTTACTTTTCACAGTTAAAAAAATCTGTTTACATAGCATAGAAATACAATTTTTGTTTTTTTATTTAAAGGGAGTTTGAAATCAGTTCCCAGCCCGGAAGAGAACTTGCCCTAGAAACCCAAGTTGCTACTGTAAAGTCAATTAGGTCACCACAAACTCAGGGGGAGTCTACTTCAGGAATATATAATGAAATACTTACAAAATATACTTACATTTAGGAAACATTTATTTCAATTTATTTTCTCTCTATCTCTCTCTCTCTATATATATATATATATATATATTAATTAATTTATTTATTTTTACTTTTTTTCCTTTGAACTATTTCATTGTGTGATACAACATTCTGTCACAATACTGACAATAGTTACAATCAGAATAGAGTCCATTCAAACTATACTTTTTGAGAAAATATAAATAAATAAAATAAAGTAAATGAAAATAATAACATAAAACAGCAAATACAAAACCGAATAATTTATCTCGGATAAATCTATTTTTAACCAGAGATATTCAGAACATGATTCGCTTATGTCCGTGAAATTATTAACGATTTGTCATTCAACAATATTTGAAAGGTCAAAACATTTTTTTTTTTTTGTTTTTTTTATCCAAATTAATACATTTCTGAGTTCAATAGTACATTCAATAAACGAACATCCCAAGTATTCTCTTTGATGTGCATCATTAGAATTAAAAACGAGTAACACCATTGAAGTAAATATTAGCTAACAATACTAAATAATTTTTATATTCTTTTAACATCAGCAGGCGGAAATAGCTTGTGAAAAAATTGCAGAACAGCAAAAAATCCTAAACATAGATATCAATCCGGAAAAGACGAAAGGAATTATATTTTCATACCAAAAGGGAAAAAAGAAAATGCCAAATAAATTCAAAATTAACAACACCAGTATTAAATTATCGACTCACTTAACATATCTCGGTATTCACTTCGACAGACATTTAAAATTTACTAGACATTTTGACGAAAAAATTAAAATAGTAACATCTAAGACATACAGACTCCAAAATTTAATTCGAACAACAAACCTATCTCAAGCACTCTGTTCAAAAACATCAGCAAAACAATTCTGAAAAGATTACAATATTTCCAAAATGGAATAATTAGAAAAACTGTAAGAGGAACCACGCTGCTGAGAAAGAAGACAGTGGATATACAAGCAACGCTAAACTTGTCAACAATTAAAGAATTTTTCGAAAAACGAAAAAAATCATTTTTCGAAACATCCCAACAATTGGCAAACCCTCTTTTTTAACAATTTGTTACCAGCCAAAATTCCAAAACGTTGGCAAAAAATCACATGATATCGATGTTTTAATTTAGTTGTAAACTCTAGAGGATAAGGTCAACTCAAGCCTGAGGTGAGCCCCATCACCTTTATATTACAGATGGAGAACGAAATACTTAGAAACGACAAAAATCTAAAAATAAACCTTACAACGCTTTTAAGTAGTAAAAGGTGTATTACTAAGACAATACAAGGATTAAAGACAAAAATAAGTAGAAAGGGGCTATGAAAAAAAAAAAAAATTAACATCATATCTGTGACAGAATACGACAAAATCATTTAAAATTCACTACATAATAAAGTGTCGGCATTAGAATTAAAAATCATGGGCAGGATTTAAACTTGAACACTATCAAAGCTGTAACTGACGATCTCCATAGACAACCCTCAACCCTTCCTGCCCTTATCAACGTAACATCATCTCACCGTTGACAATAGCAGGTACCGCGAACCCCCCGGGGTACCTCATGGTACTTGGGTACCAGGCGCGTGCTCCCCCAGAACGGGTTCCTTTGGAATGTCTTAGGAGTCCACAACGGCGTAGGCGAAGACGGCCGGACTTTATCTCCAGCCTACATCTGGAGCGTCCACGGGAAATGATGTTCTCTCAGGAAGAAGAGGTCCGTTACTGGATAGTTACTCGGGAGCCGGAATCCCAACTAAAGGCTTTGGAATTCTTCCAGGACTCCAAATAGTCCAGAGAAAGATTCGATTTTGGTAGACCAGATTTCCAGGGAATTCCTGGTGTTCAGATAGTATTTTTATATTGAATTGGCTCGTGCTTGAAGAATGTATAATAATTCATCAGTTATTTGACCATACGATTAAAGGATCTCGACCAATTATTTAATGACCTATTTAATGGTACATAGAAATATATAAATCTTATAAGATTCATAGCTTAATTTAGCTATCCTATTGCTAGGCTTTGGGCTCCTCATATATATTTAGGAATAATTCAGCCATCGCTATTGTATAAATGTCCCGTTATTTCAGCATAAAACTGGAGGCTAAAGTTTGTTCTTTGTAAATGGACTGTATATCTATTTCTATCTCTGCTTTGACTTTTAGTTAATATATTTAATGGCATAACTATTTCAATTTGGTTCCCCATATATATTTTTTCTTCGACCTCGTCTCAATTTATTTCTCAAAGTTGAATCCCAAAAAATATAATATTATTATCACATAATGTCCTCCCGCCCCTCCCACCTCCCCCCTCCCAAAATAGATGATATTCAGTAGATGATATGAAGTAGGCGAATTACCCTGCTAGAACGTATCCCCAACAAATAGGTTACTTGACTCTTGATTGAGTTTGGAGAAAACCAGGTGGTTGAGTCTGGGTGCTGACCATATCACTTTCTAGTATAAACTTTGTTCAGAAAACAGTACGTCCAAGCCAAGCACTGAACTGCACTATTAAATGTTTGATTATAAACTGTATTATTTTTATGAGGATAATTTAATCAAGTTGATTTTCCTTTTAGATTAATTAAAGTTGTTTTTGTTTACTTATTAATTATACAATAATTAGTAGGAACGTCTAATCAAGCAACGATACAGGTTCACGATCCGAGGTTATAAAAGGCTACAATCCTTTAAACATTGGAGTTATTGGTAAAATAATAAGAGTAGCGTAACAGCGAGGACTTAAATATAAAAAAAAACTGCATTTATAAGTAACAAAGAATTTCTTATTGGAGTTCAAGGGCGGCTCTAAGTTTTTCCGAAGTACAAGACAGAACAACTCGGCGTCCCTTAATCTTATTCCCTTCTCCTCACCAAATTACGGTCACTCTAGCTTTTGCATTATTTCATCATACTATTACCATTTGAGAGTAAAAAAAAATCTCGGATCATGCATCGGACCATTCCGTTCAAACTTCTCCGTAATATGTGTCCACCTATTTTGTCTATGGACAAGGTCTGCTGCAAGATCTTAAAATTTCATCGCGATCAATATTCCTTCAAATGCATCTACGCATGAAAATAATTGTAAGTAAAATATATCTGAAGTGTCCACTTCCATTTCTTACCGTTTATTTATTCATCTCCCTTATTGTAAGGAAATTCATCCTTTGACACCGGAGTTTGCAGATCTATGACCTCGGAGAATTTAAGCCATCTTGTCATTATCAGGATATGAACAATTTATGAAGAGCTTTGATGTGAAAGACATTAGTTGGTCTAGAGAAGGATGTTCTTTTATGAAGATATTTTCAGGTATTTATGTAAATGTCTGATGTGTATACACGGTTGAACGTCAACGCTCAATCGGATAAACTCTCTACTAACTCATGGAATCAAATATATTCTTGAGATCAACCATTAATTTTAAAACTCTAAGATCGTTTGTAAATTGGTAAAGAAAGTAACAATGAAAAATAATGTTTACTATCATTGTTGCAGAAAAATATTTGTTTATGTTCTTTTAATTATTTATTTTACATATTTTCTTTTACTACAGCATACTAAACCTGCAATGAACATGCTATTCACTTATTTATTAGATTCCGATATTGAGAATTGTGTTATTTTAGACTGATTGGAGGTAAGTAGTTCAAAATGAACTAATAAAGAAATATTTTTTAAAAATTATTTTTTTAAAAAGACTTTTTCCATTCTTATTTAGGTTCAGTTTAACGTTTTAAAAATATCTTTTAACTGAAAGTAGATCCTGAGAAACGTTATTTTAATGCAGTTTCCCCGGTGCTATTTCTATACATATAAGAACGAATCACTAGCTCTCATATTAAACTTTTTAGATGACAGAAAGAGTTTGGGGACCATCATATAGAAATGATCGAAGTGACAAATATTAAAAAATAAATCGGAAAGGTCGATAAAAAAAAAAAATACGTTATGAATGTTTTTACATATCTAACCCATTGGTACAACTACTGACAGACGTAACCGTTGTGCGTACACCATCTTTCGATGTATTCACGTATAAATAATATATTTGTAAGCAATAAGAGCATGTTGAACCAGCAACTGAGCAATTTGTAACAACAAGTTAACAATGATGTCATTGTTTACTTAACAAGTTATTTTTACAACTCCGAATTAACACATGAATTAACATGGAACGATATAAAAATAAACGAATACACCATGATATATTAAAAATAAATAAACATTGGAATAGAACGACATGATGGCACTGTAAAGATCGTGCCTGGTGTGGGAGTCGGTGTAATGGCTCTGTCTTTTAAATGTCACATTCCCGGTTGGGGATTCACTACCGTTTATATTTAATATTTATTTTTTCAATTAATTTTATATAAATTCAGTATATATTTTAGGGAAACTTTTGTCAGTTAATACTTCTGGGACGTGACCAAGTTTATTTACACAATTAGTTTGATTCATGTTTGATTACATAACTATATTTACGGGGTAAATTTTCATAACATTTAGAAACAAATAATTTCATTCCAATAATTTATTATCTGTAAATTTGTTTACAGCAGACTGTCTTCTTAATAAGTTTGAATTAAATCTAAAAATAAATTAAGCTTAAATGCATTAAACTTTATAAAATAGCATTGGTAAATCATCAATCAAAGAAAATATTGGAATATATTTTGCTCTCTTATCTCTTATTTTTAAATTTTCTTTTACAAATAATTTAAACTTAACAATTGTTTTACCTAATATTTCTGTAATATTTATTTGTTTAAAGGGTAGAACCTTATACAAATGGAGTCTATCACAAAATAACGAACATTATTATCCTTATGGAAAAACAAATTTATTCCTTTTCATACTACATTACAGATATAAAAACACCCTTAAGGATAAATTTAAAATCATACTCTGCAAGAATCAGGTAGTTAAAATTGTTCCATTTATAAAATTAATATAGAACCTAATAAATCCTAATAATACAATAAATCCTGACAACTAATTGGCCTGTATATAGACATAAATCTCCAGACCTTTTGGACATTTTTATTACTAAAGGACTAGGAACCATACCTCATACTATTATTACGAGTTCTGATCTTTGCTCTGATCATTCCGCTGTGCATCTTATTATGCGTGATGAGGTAATCAACGCTTAAACAAGGCCATCGCTTTTTATTGGCCCAATTGATTGGGATCTTTATAAAGAATTATTGGATTCAATAGCTCTCGATTCCAGTTTCCATTAAAAGTGAAACTGGACTGGAAGAAACAGTTGAAATATTTTTCTAAACCATTCAAGAAGCTGCTTGGTCTTCATCGATATCCAAATTCTAGCCCAGACGAACTGAGAAATTACCTAAACATCCTCAGAACATAAGGGATTTGATCTTAAGATATAACAAGCTGACAGACACCTATCAGATAGAAAGACATTTAACAGACTAAATAACCAACTTAAAAGAGAAATTCAAGAAGACAAGCTATGACGAATACATAAATGGTCTGTCGACTGACGATGGAAGCTTGTGGAAGCATACCAGGAAGCTGATAGAACATCGTGAGGTGTCAGAACCCCTTCGAAGGGAAGATGGTTCTTCGGCCATGTCGGATAAGGAAAAATCTGAACCCTTCACTCATCATCTTTCTTCTGTATTGTAACCACTCACTGATTTCACCAACATTCAACAGGAGATCCTCATACTTAACACTTTATACATTCCACCTCCTTCGTTCACTCTATCTCAAGTCGCACTTGAAATCAAACATTTACCTAAAAGAAAAGCCCCTGGTTATGACTTAATTCCAGCCGAAGCGCTCCAACAAATGCAGAGGAACGCTCCAGTATTTCTGACAACAATTTACAACTGTATATTGATGACATCAAAATTTCCATTACAATGCAAATATTCACTCATCTTACAGACCAATTAGCCTTCTTCCAATCTGTTCCAAAATATTGGAAAACTAATATTCAAAAGACCTGTTTACATACTAACTGACCAACCAATAATTCATGACTTTGGCTTTCTCACATTCCATTGGACAATACATCAATAACACACGTTGCTGTCAATAATATACGTTGCTAGAGCTTTAGAACAAAAACTGTATGCAATTAGTGTATTTTTGGATGAGGCTCAGGCGACAAAGTCTGGCTCCAGAGTCTTCTCTTTAAACTCAAGTCCATACTACCACACACATACTTCCTGATTCTTCAATCTTTCTTTTTCGATAGATTTTTCTCCGTTCTGCAGGACTCTGAGATTTCTTCTATTCGTCCAGTCCTGGCGGGAGTGCCCCAAGTTTTAGTGCTGGCTCCACTTCTATAGATTGTATACACTTATGACATACCTATTAACAATGAGTCATTGGCTGTTACTTGTACTAACGACACAGCAATTCTCATAAAACATCATCACCCTACACAAGCCTCAGTGACGTTACAACATCATTTAGAAAATTTACAATACTGTTACAAATCATGGAAAATTAGACCTAACCACAATAAGTTGAAACACATTACATTTACACTTCGAAGATATACAATTGTTATCGAAAACAAACCAAATTTCTCAGACGGACATCGTACACTACCTTCGTTTTACCTTTGACGGAAGGATGACATGACTTGTTAAAATGAAACGGAAGAGTCAAAATAGACTACTCAAACTACTTTACTCACTTTTCTCTAAATCTTCAAAATTAGAACTGAGACAGAAACTTAATACATACCTATGCTTACTTAAATCAATATGGGATACTCCTCACAAATACACGGTAAGAGCTGAAAAGAATCACTAACACAAACTTCAAACTTTTCAATAAAAAATAATACGACTTATAACTAAAGCACCTTGGTACGTAACAAACAAAACCTTACATACAGACTTCCTCCTACCTACAGTTGACCAACATGTAAGAATTCTTTACAAACGACTTCACAATAATTTACACGGACATCCTAACATGCAAATCAGCAATAGCGGATTCAGGATCTAATTTTAGGAGGTGCTTCAGCCCGTTCTTTCAGGTTCAACTAAAAAAAAAAAATAAAAACTTTTAGTCAGGAGTCGGGTCTATTTATGATTCTTTTAAAATTATTATCGATTTGATCTAATTATTTTAAACCTGGTAAATTTTGCAGTGAAATCTGACAAATAGTTTTTCTATTTATGAAACTTTGGAATTTTTCTAATACCAATGAAAAAGATTTTTTTTTACGGTTTTCCACAAGTCTCGTCACTATAAAATTAATATATTTTTCAGCATTAGAAATGTGAGGTGCATTTGTGATTTGCATTTATTTCAAAAAAGAAATTTTGTTTGCCGATCTTTTCATTTATTAATTTTTTAAGACTACAAAGTTACTATAGGATGATTATAGCGGGCGTAGGATTGATGACCCCGTGTACTTAAATCGGTAATCGGGATGTGGTTCATCAGGATATTCGGGGAAAGAAATATAGGTCCTCGTGTTCCTGCTGACTCTGAGCGGCCATAATCCATGGATCTAAACCGATTTGTCACTGCCCTTGAACCTGAGTGAGTCGGTGGGAAGGACAATGGCAGATTGGCCCCTAAGCGATCGGCTATGGAGCGACGGGTGGCCAGTCGCTGCATCACGGAGACCATGGTTCGTAGCAACGTGAGGTTGGGCTATCTGTGCTCCCGTAAGCAACATTCGTCTGTAAGGAGACCACATCTCGCGGCCAAAGATCTCCTTGGTCTGTAGCGCCCAACCCAAGAAAAAAAATAGGATGATTATAAGTTAAGAATTTATAAAAAATATTACTATTGAAAATGTTCACAAGTGGGGCTATGGAATTTCCATGCATCTAATTTAGACATATCATGGAAGAATCATTTCTTTCTTCTATCCGTTGTTCCTATAAACTATAAGTTCAACTTTTTTTTTTCTTATTTGTTTTATAATTTTAACATACGAAGTTTCTGGCAGCACTAGAAGCATTTCCAAGACTTGTACTTCACTGACAATCCCTATATCCGTCAATTGTTTTACTAAAGAACTAATATGTCAAGTTTCTTAGGTTTACCAAGAGAAACTGTATTATTTTATAATTTAATATAAAGTAATAAGTTATATATATATATATTAGAAAAACAGTATATATATATATATATATATATATATATATATATATATATATATATATATATATATATATATTGTTTTTCTTTAAGATTAAGGGAATAAGCTCTAAAATATAAAATATATTTATTTTTATTATCTTGACCGAGGCACAATGTTTACTACCAACATTTTGCTTATTTTTTTATAATTTTCTTTTCAAGTATACCCTTATTATTAATATCTTTATTTTATCATATGTTTATCAAGGAATCAAAAGCCATGGTGCAAAGTTAGAAAGCCTACCCGGGAAGAGGCGAGGAGAGATCGGCCGGCAGGCGACCCCTGACCTCCAGACACCTGCAACTCCGCACGTACCATTTACAATAAAACTATTTATTACCTTATAAAAAAATATATATAAGTGAGATGGCTGTTACCTGCTTATAAAGCGCCTATAAACCTCAAGTACTCAGATAAAAGCACCAGAGGTAACTCATTTTTGAAGTCTTCCCTTATCAAAGGCATTTCGCTATCTAAAAGATACCCGTACTATCTGATTTTTATTCCTTTATGATATTTCATTTCACTTACATGTTATGGCATTCAGGATAGGTTTTGCAAATGGCAATAACCCGTTATGTTGACCTCAACGCCTTATCGTTCAAATAAAAGAAAATATATTTTTAAAATAATAATGAAATCATAATATTTCAACTGAAAATTTTCTAATCAAAATCAGGGTTTCATTAATAATTTAAAACATGCATAAACAAATATATGAATATGAGAACTGTCTTCAATATCAATGCAGAATTACACTTGGAAATTCGCTGACAACAGAGTTTTAAATGATGTATTTAAACACGTAATTCAAAATATATTAATTTGAAAACGACTTTTAGACTGATATTTCAACACTTTCCAGCAATCCTCAATGAAACCTAATATTTATGAATAGATTAATCAGCAAATGATAATTTTAAAATATAATGGGCCAGAATAAATTAAATTGAATAAAAAAAATTGAAATGTATTATACCAATATTTACACAAAATTATTTAAGGACTTTTAGTGAAACTAAAGTCAGGTTTGGTTATTTTTACCGTGCATAAATATTTTCGATTTTTAGTTTAGAATCATTAATTTTTAGTTTAACTACGACTATAAAAACTTTTAATTAGCTCGTAATAATAATAAAACAAATTCAAACTAAAGATGTTTTGGTATGTTAAATCAACATCTACCATCATTTATGCCATACAAAATCCATAAGGTTAGTTGATTTAATAATTTAAACATTTCTTGATTCAAAGAGTATTTATTTTTTAACGTCTCTATTTTTCCTTTAATCCACTATGGTATAAAAAAATTGAAATGTGAAATAAAACATTTACAGCATGTTATATTTATTAATATTTTTTTAACCAGAAGGACGCATATATTATATCATTACACTCTCCACGTAAGTTGAAATTTTAACTAGATTGAGTCATACCTTAATATAAATAAAGGTGCTCATTTTCAGATAAAAAGAGGTAACTACACGATCTTAAAATTGTAATTCCATAATATTAAACAACCATTCCTTAAATCTCAGCTTATGAATACTTACTTTTCGAAATGTAGTAATTCAACGTTATATCAGTGTCTCAAATAAACTAAATTCATAATTAATTTAATTTAGTAACGGTATTAAGTAAAATTAAAAAAAAATAATATGATTATTTATTATATATATAATTTAACAATTAATATGCTTTTAAAAAGAATATTGAACGTTTATAATAACATTGACTCATCACTTCAACTTCTAAAGCTATTAGCACGCAACTTTTTTATAATGTTAAACTTATAAAAAAATATATTTTTTTAATTCTTCAACCTTTTACCATTCGACCAACGTCTTCTTCACCTGCCACATTCCTGTTGTTAGTCGTGCAGCACAATAATGTTCTCACAAATAATTGTTAATTTTATTATTTGAGTGTCATAACAATAATTGTTATGTATAGTGAGATTTTGTATCTGCCTATTTAGTGTTTTAATCTACTTGGTTCTGAACAACTATAAGAAAAACTTTTTGTTTTATTTATTTATTTTATTTTATTTTTGTTTGAGATGCACAAATAATGCATTATCAGTATTAAAAATTGTTTTAAAATTCATTTTGTATCAATCATCAAGACAAAGGGAATAAAAATAACTTTAATTTCAAATGTTACTGAAACTTTATTTATTAAAATATACATAACAATTAGGATTTGATTATTGTAGTAGTTAAAGTTATATATTTATATGTATATAAATTGTTACAAGTATCAATTAAGTCCTAATAGTGCTTTTCCAATCGTACATTGCAGTGCCGCCTTATTGACCTGCGACGGTCACGGAAATGTTTTTATACAAAAATAACTTGTTAAAACTAAATCAACACATTCAATAAGAATTAACCTTAATCTAAAAACCGTGAGATTGTATTCAAATCCTAAAGCATTTCGTCCAATGTTTAGACACCAATAAATATTGTACGTTCATAAAAAAATGTGGGACTCGGTTTCTGAATAAGTCGAGTAGTTCCGAAGACATGGCCATCTTTGATGAAACCGGGATATTAAGATCTTGATTTCCTGCAACATAAAAAAAAAAATTATTTAATATATAATATATATAATTATCGGGTAATATTATCACAATAAATGTACATTATCTATAAATAATAAATAAATAATCTGTCAAAACAATCGCCTCATCAAAAATAACCGTTGGTCAAGAAAGAGATAAGGGTAGGAAATGAACCCTTGGTTTTCGAGGGGTTCTCAAGGTTCTGGGACAGCCTGGGTATTATTAAAAGGGAGTACAAAGAGGAGGGTTGGATCGCATTACATTGACTAATGGTTGAAAAGAGTTGAGGATTGCTGTTTAGATATCAAATGAACAATGTTTTACCAAACATATTTGAATGTATGTCAAATTGTATAATTTAATAAATGATCTATCAAAAGGATCAAATGATAGAAGGTCTTTCAACAAAAATAAAAACATTTTTCCAAATGTAATGATACTTTAACTTTTTTATTTTTCCATTAACACGGTATCAAATTTTTAAAAAAGAAGCTGTCGTGTAAGATCCATGTCATTTAATTTATCAAAATCAAATTATAGAATAAAGTAATTTCAGGTCTTTTTTTTACAACGTAAAGAGTGGTTTGGAAATGCAATTATGCATCTCGAATTCATTTTGTAAACTGAATTTAAAAATAATAAATTTTACGAGTAAATGATTATTTCATGACATAAATAATAATATTCATATTATTAATTTAATTTATCAATTTTTTTCAGGTCGCACATTATCCCTTTCCTAAGTAAACGCATACAAATAAAAAAAAATATTTCAATGCGAGCCACGTTGTTCGTTATTTATTATTAAATAATTCATGCTTTTCAAATACAGTAAAATAAAATATATACTGTGTAAAAAAAAATCTTGGACTTGCAGTAACAAAATTTATAGTTAGCTAAAAACTAAAGGTATTTTGCATAATTTGATGAGTTTATTATTGTTGGACGTTTTTAAGAATAAGCAGTTGCAACATCAATATTGGTACTGCAATATTGATATCAATTTTGGTCTCAAAGCAGAAAGAATACCATAAATATTTTTATCAATTAATAGCCGAAAAGTAAGTTATGTTTCCATAACATATGAATATATTTCCAAAACTACAAATCATTGTTTTTAAATTTATAGTTAATAAATATAAAATGTTTGGTCTTCATTTTTATTCTACGATAATTTAACAATCTATTATTTATTTATTTTTTTAAGAAAAAGCTTTTACAAATGTCATCTTCTTAATATATATTCACAATTAATATAAAATGGTATAATATTAGTAATTATGAATTCTAATTGGTGATAAATAAAGAATATATTTACAAGTCCATTAAAAACAGAAGAAAAAAAAATAAAACTCAGTACAAGTCTTAGTCTTCTTAACAATTTTTACTTTCACTTACCTATATATCTAATACATATTAAGGGAATCTGTTTTGATCGTGGAAATTTTCGAATCTCAGTTTTCAACAGAAATACAGGTTTTGAGGTCACCTGAATCCGAATAACCAAGTCCCGCAAAATGGTCTGAGTGTGTGTGTGTGTGTGTGTGTGTGTGTGTGTGTGTGTGTGTGTGTGTGTGTGTGTTGGGTGAACAGTCTTGCTCAAAAAAAAAAAGTCGTACGCAACTGACATTTCGTATTTCAGATAGGTGTATAGTTGGAATGTCACAACAACTTTCTAATGAAAACAGAAAACTACTTTATATAATCGATTTTCACGTTTTTACAATTTTCTCACAAACAGCCCAAATGGCGAGTGTATTAATAAATGATCTTTAATATCAGATAGGTCTTATCCCTATTGTCACTTAACAGAGCTTCAAATGCCAATTTTCAAAATTTCTTCCCCTAAAGTACTTTTAATTTGGTTTATTTTAAATAATTATTAAACACTTATTCTTAGATGTAATAAAAAGGGGTTATATATCGTTTTGAAGACATTAATAATTGATTAAAGGAAAAAAAAAAGAAAATTGTTTATTTGAGTTGAAAATGAATTTCCGGAAACAATAATCAGGAGTATATCGTTGGAACGGAACTTCAGGAAAAAAACAATATCTAACATAAAAAGTAGTGGAAGATAATGGAGAGTGAAGAAAAAATTATAAATAATAATTTCTGAAAATTGGTATTATTTAAGAGAAACCACATGTTTCCAAGGATATTAAATGAAATTTTCTAAATAAATATAAACAAACTTTAAAAATAATTTTTAAATTAATAAAAATATATTAAAATCCACCGAATTAAAACAATGAGATTGTTTAAAAGATATTTAATTGTACTTGTGTGGAAGAAGAAGTGAATTATAAAATATTTCAGGGGTGTGTAAAACCTATGTTTCTAACACAGGAAGATGGTCCGTGCTGGCTGTCATAAATAAACTAAAATAGTGGAAAAACTATTTTTTTTCAAGCCAACGTTTCGACCCGACTTTTCTTCAGGGAGGTGTGTTCAGTTAGGAGTTTCACTTAAAACTGCTTGAAATGAAATAGTTTTTCCAATATTTTAGTCTATTTATGACCCACACCCCGGACCACCTCCTTCCTCTAAAATACAAAACGGTCAACTATTAACTATATTCCTTATGTTTATAACCTCAAATATATTTACTGTATTTTAATAACTTTAGATCCGCGATTATATTTAAACAATGAGGTGTCTATCATCGGTTCATACCGAAAACTCATAGGACATATACAAAACAATTAAAATAGTGGATAATTTTTATGAATTTTCTCTCTGTGAAATCACATCATCCACTTAAAATTATTGCTACAACTTTCAATCTATCGATGGTAGGCCACCAAAATCTCGTAACTCCATTTTAGTAAACCGTAAAATGAAAAAATAAGTATTCAAGACCTAATACTACTACCATCCATGATCATTTATAGGTTAAATATACATACGTACTTTCAAATCTCTAGAGTTATATAGCTCAGAGAATGGAGTTAATAATTATTTTTCTCATTCTACGCTATACAGTATAATGATAATTTTTAATCATTGTTAAATTTAACCGATATATATATATTTTTTTTTTGTTATTTCTTGTGGCATTACATACCATGTAGATCTTTTTCCGCCTTAACAAGCCTGCTCCATCTATGCCTGTCTTGGGCTATTTCTTTCCATTTATCTGCACGCAGCTCTGTTTCATCTTTGTTGATTATATTTAACCGATAATAAGCCTCACAATCAATATTTATTGTCACTCTCAGGAAATAATCATCGATTCATATTATGACTTTGTTTTCGAATATCCTTAATCTTTGGTTTGGCCTTATTCCAAATCTGGCATTCATGGAATTTCCAAGAAACGGTTGCCATTCAAGATTCGATTCGGACTAAGTCGCCCTAGAACAACTTGGTGGTAATTGGCTGGGGACGACAAGTAGTTAACAAAGGACCCCAGGACCTTGTTAAGGAAAAAATGTACCGGTCCGGCCCGGATCAGAACAGGAGTACACGGGCGAAAATCGGACGATAAATCCTACCTGACGCCGGTCTCGGATGTTTTAATTGCCTCCTCTCAAGACCGTTATATTTACTGGAGAGGGTTCGACTCCGGCCAGAGGTGTCATATCTAATTGACATGGAGTGGTCAGTAATCTGGGAAGTTGGATTTGTCGCATTTCATAAAACCTTAAGAGGAAGTCTAAAAGATTTTAGATGAAAATCAAAGCGAAAACAAGCAAAAAAAAAAGATTTCGTAGAAATGGATTAATGGAAAGAGAGGAAGTCATCGATTAATTATTCCTTCGTTCGATATCAATTATACACTCAGTCGTGTTGATTAACTTTTTTTAATTGGTTAGGGCGGAACTAGATCTGATCAAGCGAATAAAAGGAAATCAGGAACTAGTACAATGAGGAACTAGTATAGTGAGGAACTTATGGTTTTTTTCAATGGAACTAAATGAAAGTCCAAGTTAAATTCTATATCAGTTGTCTTTCCGTTGATCATACGATGTTGGGTTATTATTTTAGCTTTAAAATAAACTAACAGAACCATATAACTTATAATAATAAACCATAGAACTGGTAAATGATTCATTTTTTTAAAAATATTTTATAATTTGTTAACTGGAGGTAATACTTAAAAAAAAATTACTAAATTATTAAATAAAGGCATTGTTAATAATTTTATTGGCCTTTTCCTTAATTTTGAAATCCAATCTTTTTTTTTCTATAATTTCAAAAAGGACCAACGGAAAGTGAGATATTATCTCTCAAGTTTCAATAACTTATTTTCAAAAACAAAAAAGTTGAAGAGATAACATGTTGAAAACATAAAACCCATCAATATTATTCATATAATTTAAAGTAATTCACAATAATAATCGTTAAAATACCATTAGAGACTGCCCGCCAATTTAAGAATGAACAAATTGTTATTTATAATTTATAAATTATTGTTTAATAATTGTAAAGAATAATTAATCCTTAGTCATTTGAATTTTCTTTTCTATCTATAGTTAATACGTAATTACTATTTTTCATTATTGGTATATAAGGTATTTTTGATAAATAAACTAGTATAATTTTATTTATAATATTAAAAAATATTTTATAATTGTAACAATAAAACAAATTTCATCCTTATTTCTAATTTATTTTTCTTTTTAGACGTAACATTTCAGCTCTTCAAGCCAATTTCAAAGGAGGGAAACCTTATCGTGTCGGATGCTTTTATCTAATACTGTAGGAATGAATTTTTTACTATGACAAATTGAATTGAATAGAATTGAAGCTCTAACCAAATATATATATATATATATATATATATTATATATATATATATATATTGATCAAAATATTTTATTTTTATACGTTTACATACCTATATCACATGGAAGTTTTAAAACATGAATTGAATCGTCATTAAAGACTAAATTATAAATAAATATAGGAAAAGTATTCATGAAAACAAGATTAAAATATATATTTATAGATGATTTTTTATGGTTCTAATGCTAAAATTTTCAGTGAATTGGAATTTATT